CTTGGGGCAGCCGGCATAATGAAGCCTTCCTCCTCTGCCTTGACCCAGAACAATGATTTAAATGAAGAAAAATCAAACTTATTTGAGTTAAGGACCCAAGCAATGCCAGTAAATCTTCTAGCGCCATATAATAAGGAACTGCTTCAGCGCTAAAGATAATAAGATCACCAATATTATGAATAAGTCTTTCTTTCTTTCTTTCTTTCTTTCTTTCTTTCTTTCTTTCTTTCTTTCTTTCTTTCTTTCTTTCTTTCTTTCTCACCTTTTCTCATTTTTACAATACAGTTTAGTTGACTACTCAATATCTTCCTTTAATTGGCAAACTGTTGTATATATGCAGGATTACCACATATTTAGACTTTGCACATAATAAATGTTACTAAAATCTTCTCCTTACATAGCAGATTACTTTATGCTGTACTAATCGAACATATGCATGCACTGAAAAGCAGATGATTGAAATAAAATAGGCTGGATAAAAGTCCCTGTCTGGAAGGTGATATGTCAAGTACCATCAGATTTTAAGAACACTTACAGGGTCCAGTACTATTTCTAGAGCACATCTGGCCTTTAGCTACATACATAGAAACTCCAGGGTTTGCAGAGGTGTAATTTAGAGCTAAATTTGGCTCACAACATACAGCATAATCTCTTGAACTAATATTTGTGCATTTGTATTTGAGTTTAGTATAAGAACTATATGTGCATGTTATTGTTAGCATCTGCATTATGGTAGTGCTTCAAGACACGATCTGAGTTTAGGGCCCAATCCTGCATCTTTAGGGGCCATCTAGCTCACACCTTACATAGTGCTGTGCCTAGGTAGCATGACTTAATCCTAGATATGAAAAGAAGCAGAGGGGAGAATCACCGTCTGCTCAAAGAAAATATTGGTGGAAACATAATTAAAGAAAACCTCCCTGGAAGAAGATAGATTTAGTACTTGTAGTGGTACGTGTGACAGGAATCTTCAGAAGTGATTGGTCCAAGGTACAGTTCTCTACATGGGGGAGTAACATGCCTAGTACAGAAAGATCTTGAATAACCAACTCCCATTACACATATTATTTCTGTAATGGATGTATTACCTATTTTAGCTGCACTTGTGTTGAACTCTAAAAGCATTACATAATTGATATGGGAAGCATGTTAACTCTGAGCCACACTGAAAACGTAGTGATGGCTGATGATTAGAAGGACCTTTCCTTTTTTGTTTGTGTCTCATGTGTCATCACATCTGTTCTTATCAAGTCGCTTGCCGGACTGCTGATGTGTTTGCAGCACAATGCAACTTACAGTAATGCCCACTGGCACTGCATAGCAGAGTCTGCCAACATTTCCATTACAAAACCCTTGGTTCAGGTGGGTTGACTTCATCTCCATGCAGAAGGATCCAGTCTGAATAGAAAAATTCATAATTTTACATGCTAGTTTTGGATCTGCTTGCTGCTGTAACATAGGCAAAACATTCAGCTAACCTTCCCTCCCCCAACATAGAACTGAAAGGGCCCCTTTGGCCATCAGACTATAGAATAGTGGGCCACATTCTTCCCTGCTGTAGCGTCATTGAATCAAGGGAGTTCTACCAGTGAGGAACAAATCACACTGATGTGACAAATACCTACAAAAGCTATTGTATGAAATGTCTCTCCCTCCTTCCTAGAGCGTGAATAGCCACAAACAGCTGATTCAAGCGGCAAGATCCAATGGTTTGAGCATGAGACTAGGAACCAGGGTTCTGAGTGTTAACCATGGTTCTGCTTCTGACTTGTTTGTGGCCTTTGGAAAATCATCTAGGCCAAATATTCAATCTTTGTGGCCTCAGGTTAGGTTGCGAAATTCTATTTATGTATTTACTAGCCAATTAGCCCATCATAAGACGGGATTTTCAGGTCTCTCCTCCACGTCGGTCTTCTCTCCTCTGTCCCCTGCCTCTCTCTCTCTCTGTGTCTCTCTCTCTTCTCCTCCCCCTCCTGCCTCTCACTTGAGGGACTGTGGAGCCCAAATGGCCAATTGGGCACTGCACTCCCTGTGCTGCATGGGGAGCGTAGATCCCAAACGGTAGCTTGCGCCACTTGCTCCCACACGGCGGCCTGGCTGAGCGGCGCAGAAGTCAGCTGAGCCCCACTGCGGGAGGCAAAGGGGGGGCGGGGCAGTGATGTTCACAGCCAGGGGGCAGAACCTGGAACCACTGTCATGCCGCACGTCACCACCCTGCCCTCCTTCGCCTCCCACCATGGTGTTCGGCTGACTTCCACACTGCTCAGCCGGGCCAACATGGGGGAGTGAGCGGAGCAAGCGGCCGTTTGGGCTCCCCCACAGCAGCCCGGCTGAGCGGCACAGAAGTCAGCCGAGAGCCACGGCGGAAGGCGAAGGGTGGTGCGAAGTGGGGCGAGGCGGTGACATACACAGCCAGGCCCCGTCCTCTGGCCATGTATGTGCTGCATGGGGACCGCAGTGCCCAAATGGCCACTTGTGCTGCTTGCTCCCCTGTGGAGGCCCGGCTGAGCAGCGTAGAGGTCAGCCAAGCACCACTGTGGGAGGCGAAGGACGTGACTTAGGCAACAGCACTGCCCAGAGGGAACAGCCAGCGTTTCAGTGTTACAGAGTCACAGACATTGGGCTACTATATATATGATGCACCTGAGTGAAAGCTTTGTAGTGATGTTCTAAGGGGAAGCACAATAGAAACATAGAAATCGCCACTGTCGATTAGATCAGTGGTCCATCTACTTGAGTGGCTTGTCCTCCGCAGTGGTCAGATGCTTCATAAGAAGGTGTAGAAGATGGCTGCAGAACATGTTTTGAATAAAATACAGGATGATCAGGGTATACAGCCTGGGAGTTCTCCAGGAGGTACTGAAATAACAAAGAACACCCCCAAAGGCAGCTTTCAGTAGACTCCATTAGAAACGTTCACTATGGGCTGGAACCTGTGCCATTGACATCAAGGGGTATTTTGCTACAGGTTTAATAGATTCATTGATTTTTTAGGACAGAAGGAATCTTTATCATTGTTTAGTCTGTCCGTTTGCAAAATGGGCCACAGAACCTTACCCAGTAATTTCTCCATCTAGTTGGGGTCCATGAGTCATGTCTGGGACCTCCATCCCCACTGATCAATGTTACCCCCTTCCTCCACGTGCCTCCTGTACACTGTGTAACAGCTGTCAGGATGGTTAAACACTGAAATAAATTGCCTAGGGAGGTTGTGGAATCTCTATTTTGGAGATATTTAAGAGCAGGTTGGATAGACATCTCTATCAGGGATGATCTACATGGTGTTTGGTCCTGCTGCTAGGGTAGCGGACTGGACTTGATACTCTCTTGAGGTTCTTTTCAGTTCTAGTGTTCTATAATTCTATGCAGGAAGCACTGGAAGGCAGGGGAAGGAGAGGAGAGGCGATGTGCTGGGAATGGTTGACACTTGATTACTTGTTCTGTTTATTCCCTCTTGGGCACCTGGTATTGGCCACTGTTGGAAGACAGGATACTGGGCTTGATGGATCTTTAGTTTGTCCCAGTATGGCCATTGTTAAGGGAAGAAAAGGGACAAGGGTAAGGCAGGAACAGGAAGAAGTGGGGTGGCGTTAGGACCTTGAGGTAAGGGGTGTAGTACGACTGAGCAGGAGTTGAACACCCCAGGGGAAATTAGAAGCCTGTTTGGGGCCCACACAAATTTTTAAATCAAAATGGAGGTCCTCAGTTTGCTAATGATTGAGACCCACTGATCTAGTCCATTTCAGCTGAAGTAGGATCAGACCCAATCTTGCCAACTAGAGTGCTGGAACCAGTAGCACAAACCAATGTGTTGGATTGTTCCAAAACCAAACTGCTGGGCAGAACCAGTAGGAAATAGTTAAATTTAGTGTAGAATTTCTATTACAGCATGTATGATGGAGCCCTGTAATTGTTTCTGACAGCTGCATATTCTTGCAATGTAGTTTTTATTCAGTGGCTAGATAATCATATTAATAATTCAAAATCACAATAATTTAAGGTTTCTTAAAAGCAACTTTATTCTTCCATTTATATGTCCTAAAAGGAAATTTTGTTTAGGTGTTCTGAATAATGCAGCAACTCAGATCAACTGCAGTTTCTAGATGCTTGTTTTTATGTGCTTGTTTAATTTTATTTCAAGCATATGCAGTAAACTGGTCCATACATTTGTATTGCCTATAAGAGTTAAGAAATCGGGGCACTGAAGTTTATATCATTAAGTTATTTCTAAAGGTTCATCATCCCTTGGCAATGCAAATTAAATTTAAGCAATGCTCTGTTTTGCTAAAAAGTATATCAGGGCAGGGTCAACTAAGGAAAGCCAATCTTTTTTTGTTGCCTAAGTAGCCCCACAACCCACTCTCCCACCCCCAAAAGATGCATACATCATCTCAAGAGATTTTCAAAATGTGTATCTGGAGAGAGAGGGGGACAGACATGTATTTCATTCAGGATTTCTCTAATGCCTCAGTGAGAACTATTTACTTATTTAGACCTGACCTTGGAGCCCTGAGCCACTCACAAACCCTACTGATTTCTATGGGCTAAGCTGAAACCAGTATCTTATTTTCTTTGCGATTAAAAAGGGAACTTTGTTTCTTCTGATATCAGGTGATGCTTTCAGTGAGAACTCAATTCATTAAAATGAACTACATTTTTCCTCTGTGCTTCTTTAATGCTACAGTTTCTAAATATAGTATTTTTAAATTCAGTATCACCTCAAAACTGAGAAAAGCACTTCAACAGATAAATAGAAGCAACATTAATCTCAGATTCCATGATAGCAGCTTCTGGGCTGTGCTTCTTGGTAGGCACAGAACACAGGGAACAGCCCTGGGGGAATGGAACAAAGGCCACTTTTGTGCTGCAGATGCTGAAACAGACCCACATGTAAGTTAGAGTTGCCCCAGAGGCTGGTGTAACTTATGGCTGCTTTTCCAACCCACAATCTTTATAATTCTGAGCCCCATAGTCAAACCCCTTTCCATCACCAGCCCTAGTAAAAAAGCATATGCCCTACACTGGGCATGTAAAGGGGCCTTGCTAATAATGCTTGCTCTATGCTGCTCCTGAGCAGGGGAAAATTTTCCCTGGCCTATTATGGCTCCTCTGTGCCACTGAAGCAGCAGATGGAGACCTGAATAAGGACAAGGGTCTGTCCCCTGACTCTTGTTTAAGTTTACAAACAACAGTGTATAATGTAAAATCCACCATAACTGTTGCCAGTGCTTTACTCTGTACGCTTTTGCTTTTCAGATATTTTTAATTTCCTCATCTTTTTCACCAAAAGCCTCTCCTATTTGTTGGGTCTCAGGATGTGCGTGTGAAACTTTATTCTGTATGTCAACAAGAATATAAGATTCATAGACAAATACTTGTATAATTATTTTACTTTGATGAGTCCACTATATTTTTCCAGTTCAAGAACCAATGGTAAAAACAAGTTTTTGAAGTCCCTGCTGAGAGTTTCCAGCTTTTAAGTTATGCCTTTTGCCTACACTAGTTACGAACTGGAAAGCTAATATGCTAAGGGTGAATAATATAAAATGACAGCTGTCCTACTGTTTACTACTACACCTCAAGTCGCCTCTGTATATAATACAAGATCTTACAAAGTCAAAACCAAAAATCATCTCCGCCGCTGCTCCTAGTGCTTACTCTCTCTCTGCTTCTTAACCGTAACATATCCATGATACTGCGAGCATATATGTCTCGTAAATTAACATTGATATTTGAGTCAGAGGATGTGTTCTTTGTGAGTTTCTTTAAAGCCTCACGCTGTCGAAGAGCAGCCTCCTTTATCTTCAAAGTAAAATAACAAGCAGAAAAACGGTCATTTATTATAGCTATAGGCAAAGCCAAGACTAATATTCCTGATAATATACACATAAAGGCCACTACCTTCCCAGTGGTAGTGTCTGGTCTAATGTCTCCATAACCAACAGTTGTCATAGAAGTGGTTGCCCACCACCATGCACAGGGCACACTGGTGAAAGTTGTGCCAGGGACACCTTGTTCAACAAAATACTCCACAGTGGAAAATATAGAGATCCCCACAGAGAGAAAAAGCAGCAGCAGGCCAACTTCTTCATAGCACTGTGCGATAGTCATCCCAAGAGATCGCAAGCCTGCAACAAAAGAAATGCTGTCAGTAGGTCAATCCATGTAGCTGTTTTCCCACCTCTATTAAGAAGCACTTGTTCTGAAAGCTAGACACCTTGTGCTTTATGTTACCATCTCATTAATGCCTTTATGAGAAGGCTATGCTGTTTAGGGAAACACTGGGAAAACATGATTATTAAAGAAATAAGGCTATGCTGTTTAGGGAAACACTGGGAAAACGTGATTATTAAAGAAACTCAGAGGTTTCTGATTTATGCTCCTTACTTGTAAATGGAAAAAAATAGATATTGGGGTCAAGTATACAGACTAATAAGGAGCTGATCATGAATCATATCAGAGTATGGGGGAAGATGGGCAAAGACAGGAGTGGGAAATGCACATCTCATGATTTCTTCTCTTATGCTGGTCACTGCTAGCTCTGCCAAGTACATCCCTTCAATTACAAAGTAAGAGGAGTAACTTGATATGAGGGAAATGATCCCATCACCTTGGGGGACTGGGATCAGGCATAAGGAGATTGTTTTTGTCCAACTTCACCCCTCCCTTTGCCTCACTTGCATCCTTATATAAAAGCTGAGTGAAGGGAAGGGAGTATGAGTGTGCAGAGACTTCCACAGGACAAAGAGAAATATGAACATATGGCTGTCTGCCTTTCCCCTCTAGGGTATGGAATGCCCTTTCGCTGCCCAGAGCAGGGGAGAAAAAGCAAATAAAATAACAAGTGCAAAAGAATAAATGCCCCCTCCCAAATTAAAAGTAAAATCTATCCATGAAAGAGGGCATCCTACAAAGCCAGTTAAGGTAATTTGGGTCTCTCTAATGTATTTTCTTGATCACTGATGATTTTATGATTTTGGACAAAGTGTTTCAATAATTTTTAAAATAATTAATAGCATCTGTCATAGTGAGGGAGAGAAATGCAATACTTTCGAATAACTGCCAATGAGCATCAACTGAACCAAATAATATTGGAAACTAACGTTGAACTTACACATTTCTGAAGGTTTCAGACAGCCATTGCACTCTCCGGGAGTTTGTGATGTAAATGTATTTGAGATTTTTTGTTAATTTGGGGCCAATCTCTGATTTCCAGTGCACACACAAAGCCTTGGTTTGGTGCATGCACATCAGTGAGTACAACCGTGCTCCTTAGTTTTCAGAGAATTTTTTTTCCTTCCACCCCACCAACTGAAGGGCTTATCTACACACACTGTTTTTTGTACCACTGTATTGGTTTAGGTGTTCATACTGATATAGCACATTCCTGTAAATTTAGGAGGATAAGCTATACCACATAAGCACCTTTATTCTGTACACCTTTATGATGTACAAATTCACGCACACTAGGGTATGCATCTCTTAACTATATTGGTTCTGTACACCTTTATGATGTACAAATTCATCCACACTAGGGTATGCATCTCTTATAACTATATTGACCAATATAGTTATAACAGTACAAAAGCTGCATGTAGGCCAGTCATCAGGACCTGACCTGATAACCCTCAATTTCCATGGAAGTTAGTGACATTCAGTAATTTGCAAAACTCACACCTAGAAAAGATGATTGAGTAACTAGTTTCTCAGTGACAGAGACAGGGAGAGTTACAAGTTAAATGCTGTCAGCATTGCTCTTTCTGGAAGCATCAGTGGATTTAAGGGCTCGTCTTATGTTTTCATTTGCTGGCTTTATAAATAAGGGTGTAGTGAGTAGGTGCAGAAAGGTGGCTTTGCCTCTGTATATGGCATTGGTGAGACTGATTCTGGAATGCTATATATAGCTCTAGTGTCCATATTTGAAAAAAAAATAGAAAGATGTTGAAAAGTTGGAGAGGTTGCAGAACAAGCCAGTAAAATGCTCTGGGGGCTGAAAATGCCTTACAGTTAGAGACTTCAAGAGCTCAACCAGTTTAGCAAAAAGATCAAGTGGTGACTTGATTGCAATGCATAAGTATCTTCATAGGGAGCAAACACACCAGGTACTAATTGGCTCTTTAATCTGCAGACTGGGCATAAGATGAACCAATAGCAGCAAGTCAGAGCCAGACAGCTTCAAATGGAAAAAAGGCACCTGTTTTTAACTGCAGGGGTGATCAGTTACTGGAAGAAACTATAAAGTCAAGTGGTAAATTCTTCATCTCTTGATGTCTTCAGTTCAAGGATGGATGCCTTTCTGGAAGATATGCTCTAGCCAAACACAAGTTATAGGGCACAATAAGTATGTTCTCAATGATCAGTGGATGTTAGTGGCTGAGGGGGTTTGTAATTTCTTACGATATGAAAGCAGTTCTTTTCAAATGATTTCTCTGGACCTCAACAACCAACCAAACCATGACTGCTCCAGCACAAGAGCATTGAGGTTCAGCAAAAAGGCATTAGGGAGTCCTGCCTTCCTCCAACACACCTATGCAGAGGGCTGCAATAACTTGGCAGAAGGTGCTGGGGGCTGCAAGGATGAGTCTTAGTAGCACTGCCAGCAGCATGAGTGCCAGTAGCATTGTGTCTGGGTGAGATAAAGCATTGGTTTTGGCCCTGTGTGCCTTCAGGGTTGTGCTGGGAAAGTGCTAGAAAGCATTGGTTTTGGCCCTGTGTGCCTCCAGGGTTGTGCTGGGAAAGTGAAGTGCTATGCCAAATAGGTATATCAAATCCAACTGCTCAGCCTTCACAGCCTGCTTTATGTCCCCCAGCAGAGGCATAGTTGTGTTCTATATGTTTTTACCACTCCCACCTACAGGAATAGTTCAGATCTGTCATTTCTTCACAAAATTTGCAGGACATGATGAGCAGAACTCAGTCATACCCCACTATCCCCAGATGGGCTTCCCTGTCCATTCCTCCAGCCTGCCCCATTGCCGTTCACTCCCCAGTGGATTCCGACATTGCAAACTGGTCTTCACAAAAACTCAGGGATGATGCAGTAGGCCACTCTGCTTCTAGGTGGGAGGAGGGGAGATGTGATTATGACTGATCCCCTCTATGTGCTGAACTTTCCTTATTAAGACTATGTTTATGTATGCTTTAGAATCAAAATGAAAAAAAACCCCTCTCCATTTTGTCATCTTTAACCAAAAGGAAACAGGTTCCAGATCTGTATAGTGTATATTTCCATTCTGATTTACTAGGTTTAAGTTAACAGCTGCGTTTGTTCTGCCAGAAGATGGGAACTGTTTCTAACAACATTCAAATTATAGGGAGCTGCAGTTTTTGGTTTACTACTCTTAGCCTGGATCAATGGTAAAACTTAAATATCAAAAAGCATACACACTGCTGACATTTATGTTCTTTTGAGCTGCTTACATATTTAGTTAAGCAGCATCTAATTCTGTCTGCTAAAGAAACAGGCTATTATTTTCAGTTTTAAAGGTGAAGTGATACTTCATTCTCAACTAGGATTGCTATCAGGTTTTCATAAATTGAATTTTCCCCCTTTCTATGACACTAATCTCTATATGGGACAGAGAGAGGTGATGCTAACCAACAGGAGGCTAATTGCATGAATGGTCTTTAAATAACCATATGAAAGATAGAAAGGTGTGACCCCACATTTCAAAGTGAAATTATCTGATGTCAACAATTGTCATTACAGACATGGAAAACTACCAATAGGATCTGTCATAGGGTTTGCTACACTTTTCAGTTTCAGGTGTGAATTCCATTCACATGCTAGCTCTGGTAGCTAGTGCATTAAGATAGGAATGTAGTCACAGTGGTAGGAGCACCTGTGGGCTAGTCAACACAAGTATGTACTGAGTGTTTTTGCCATTTTTCTGTTCTCTACCAATTCAGTTTTATTACTGAGGCAACAGCATCCTGGATAACCTGTAAAAGTTTTGTGTGTCCGTCCATATGTCTAATTTGCTTGGTCCCCCCAGCCAATATAGAGTTAAATCCATGAGTTAAAGGTACCTGTGGAATGTCTGCCCAGCTTCAACATGCGCAGAGCCCTGAGCAGCCTCAGCACCTGGACGATGCGCCCCACGTTTTCCAGTTCTTGAGAGCTCTCCCCACCGCACATGCTCTCCACCAGCAAGGTGATGTAGAAGGGTAAAATGGCCAGCAGGTCTATGATGTTCGCCACACTCCTCAGAAAGCAACACCGATCCCGTGTGCACAGAAACCGCAGGCTAAACTCTACTGTGAACCAGACAATGCACACGTACTCGAGGGCGTCCAGCAGTGGGGGCGCCAACCAGCTCAGCTCCACAGAAATCAAGGCCATGTTGGCAATGGACACAACAACAAAGGCCATAGACAGGGTGCCAAAAGTCCTGGCAGCCACAGAAGAGCTGGGCTTCTCTAGCATCTCCCAGAGCTTCTGCCTGACATTGGGACAGAGACTCCCAGAGAAATCCTCTTCCTCATCCTGAGCATCCAGCTCTTCTGCATCTTTCTTGATATCCAAGGCTTCACTCAGCTCCTTCCTCCTGAAGTATCTACCCAGGGAACACAACCCAGAATATAAACCTTGAATGACAATATTCACACCCTTACGGCTACCATGTTTCACATGGAAAAAAACAAAACAAAAACAAAAAACCCTGCAACCAGAGTAAATCTTAAAGGGAATTTGATAGGTGTCTTGATTCAACAAAGGACGTAAGTGCAACTTCAAGCATGTAGTGAAGTGCTTTGATAAGTGAGGGCCATAGAGCACATCCACACAGCCATTATGCTTCTGTGGTTCTCATTCATATCAGTACCAAGAACAGGCTTATAGATTGGGGAATTATGCCAGAACAAAGATAGAAATGTGTGTGTGTGTGTGTGTGTATAATGTGTGTACAGTGAGGGGTGGAGGGAGGGGGACATAACAGTTTTCAAGTACATAAAAATTTGTTACAAGGAGAAGGGAGAAAAATTGCTCTTCTTAACCTACAAGAATAGGAAAGGAAGCAATGGGCTTAAATTGCAACAAGGGTGATTTAGGTTGCCCATTAAGAGAAACTTCCTAACTGTCAGGCTGGTTAAGCACTGACATACATTGCTTAGGGAAGTTGTGGAATCTTTGTCACTGGAGATTTTTTAAGAGCAGGTTAGACAAATGCCTGTCAGGAATAGTCTAGATCAGTGTTTCCTGATTTTATTTGGCCACGGAACCCTTTTCAGCTTAAAATAATTTCAAGGAACTCCTAGGGTTCCCAGAGTAAAATTTGGCAAGCAAAAAAAAAATAAAAAAAAGCCCCGCCAGAATTGGTTGAGCAAAAAAAACCTGGAAAATACTCTTGTCTCTTTAAGAGGGGGCAGGGCAATGCCACATTCACGCGGAACCCTTACTTTTACATTGCAGAACCCCGGGGTTCCATGGAGCACCAATTGGGAAACACTGGTCTAGATAATACTTAGTCCTGCCGTGAGTGCAGGGCACTGAACTAGATCACCTCTTGTAGTCTTCTTGTCCTGTGACTGTATGATTTTATTCTTAACTTCAGTGGAACTAACTGTGCGAGTAGGGGATGTAAGACTGGCAGAAGCAGGCCCTAAAACATCTTATCATTTTTACTACTAATACATTAATTTTTATTGCATTGCTTTCCAATGGCAATGTTTCGAAGGGTGGTAGATAATCATTTATGCCGGGGGTGGGGAACCTTTTTTGGATTGGGGGCTGCTGACCCACACAAAACTCAGTTGGGAGCCACACAGAAATCAAGCAAAAAGGAAAAATCAAACCCTCACTGATGTGGCCCCTGACTGAAAGAGACACAGACACTCTTCATAGTTCATTCACACACCAGGCTAGTAGATTTTGTGTGCTCCAGCCCTACAGATGGGTGAGTGGCAGGAGGGCTGGAGCACCGGCCGCGAGAGCCAGCTTCGACTCCTGAGCCCTGGGTTCCCCACCCAAAACATCAATAGATCAAGAACCTAATTTATCATATCTGTTATTTGCATCTTATTTAAACATTTAGGTCCTGATTCAACAAAAGAATTAGCCATCCTTATTGAGCAGTTATAATGGATTTTATCCAAGAGTGAAATGCATTGCTGAATCAGGACCATATTTATGGATCATTTTCTTGAAACAAGGAATTTATGAAGGAACACTAGACAATCCTTTCCCCCCCATATATCAATTCTAGTTGTTGGAACATTTATTGATTGCTGTTGGTAGTCGAACCTCATACCAAGGAATGTGGTGGATTTTCATCACTTGAAGTCAGGAGTGCTGGGACATTTTGTATAATGGGGGTGCTCAGAATCACTGAACCAAACTATAAACCCTGCATATGATAGAAACAACTTCAAGCCAGGTGCTGCTGCATACCCAGAACTTCTAGTTCTAGCACCTAGGCCTGAAGTCTTTAAATCCAGTTTGGAAGGCTTTCTAAAAATATGATCTAGCTCAGCCACAGGATAAGGACATGATGATGCAAGAATAACTGGGTGTGATTCCATGGCTTGACAAATCTATTAAAAAAATCAGTGAAATTGAGTAGCACCTGGAAGCCATTCTGGAACAGATACTGTTGGGCTGTCAGGCAGTGCAGGTATGCACTGGTTTTGTATTGCATTAATCTATTTACACTGATTTTAATGTAAGTATTTTGGAGATTTTATTTATCACTTTCAGGCCAATGTTAACGGAGAAATCAGTAACCAAAATTAAGCACAGCTAATAGAATCAAAAGCATACAAATATCCTAGCACAGTGTCACAGATGTCCATCCTGGCTCCTCATTCCTGTTTAACATTTTTATCTGCTGTCATTTCTGCTTCAGCCTGTCCCTCCCCCTCTAGTTATTTCCTTCCTCCACCTCCCACTCATGGAGCTCCAAGAGTCACCTTGTCCCTTTAGCAGAAGTTGATGTGGTATTTGCCCAGTCACTGTACCCACATTGAATCTCATATTCCTGCCCCCAATGCCAACCTGCCCTCTACTAAGTCACTACTGACTTCTTCCAACCTTCCCCCTCCTGCATCCAATAGCCACCTGTCCATGTAGCAGGAGTTGGTACTGAGTTTGTGCAGCTCAGCTCCTTCCCCAGCACCCATTGGCCCCTGTAAGAGCAGCTGATGCTGAATTCCTCCAACCCACATTGCTGGATCTCTTCCCTCTACAACCCAGTGCCTGCCTGTCTCTGCAGCAGGAGTTGATAATCAAAGCATCCAGCCCACATTATTTTTCTCCTCTTTTTCCCAGTCCTTCCCTGTCACCCCAGTACTGGATCTCCTGCAGGAAGGAGAGGGCGCACAGCTGTTCCATCACATGCAGCCTGCCTGTCTGGTAATAATTCAGGATGTAGCGAAAGGCCTGTGAGCTCCGGTCGAAGAAATACTCATTCTCCACCAAGTTGGCATCATCACAGAGCTCCAGGAGGCCAGAGGCCACGTCCCGGGCGGCGGACACCACCACAGCCAGCTTGCCAAGCCGAGTGTCTGGGTAGCAAGACAGAGTTTGCTGGGACAGCACGAAGCGGCTGCCTCCCACATTGATGGTGAAACAGTCTAAGGAGGGGGCAACCTTCTGTAGCAAGGGCCCCTGCTCCTCTTCACTGCAGAAGACGCTGGACTCCAGGGAACCCAGTGATGTGCTGTCCCCCGGCTCCTGTCCAGTTGTCTGGGAAGAAAGGGACATGCAGCAGGGAGGTGACTTCATCCTGCAGCTTCCAGCAGCAGCCCACTATCTCCTAGGTTAAAAGATACAACAAAGGTGAAGAGAAGACAGTCCAGTTGAAGAAAATGGGCCAGTTTTTAAGTGTGTTTCTTTCATACAGTTTCCTTGTAGCCTTACGTGGACACTCCTGCCCACACTTCCTCAAAGCAAAGCTTCCATCTCACAGCTTAGAATGGAGACTTAAGTAGCCTGGCACCATATCCATCTGGATAATAATAAATAATAATGATCCCTGAAATATGTTTACCATGCATTGGTTCTACACCACTTGGAAACTGATTGTTTATTAAGGGCTTGATCCAAATCTCATTAAAGTCAATGGATAAACTCTCATTGTCTCAAAAGGGCTGTAGTTACGTCCTCAGGGCCAAAAGGGTCTTTTTTGTTACCATAATGAGACATCACTATAAGATCCAGTTACTTTGAAATTCAGGACTGTAATCCATATGTGTCTTCTTTGCAACTATCCAGGGTATATTGTGTTAAGCATTTTAACACTGTTACCACCTATTTCTCAGATAACATTTGATAAATCATAAAAGAAAGAACACAAAACAATTAAGCATATTCCAACCCAATAATGAATCCGCTTTATCCAGCACTACAGCACCTCTTCTATATAACTGGAGCCTTCTGCTTTTCTGACAAACAATTAGCTGTGTGGAAACAAATCCAGAGATTGTAGCGAGGAGAAAGCTGCACAGGTTTTGTATTGAAGAATAAGCATTACACAAGGCTAATTGCGAAATAACAGCTCTCTCTAAAACATCCACCCGCACTAGCTGAGCCTGGAAGCTGTCACTCCGGACCTGGCAGCAATCACAGAGCCACTGGAAAAGTTAGGCAGGTCAAATGGCTAAAGTCTAATGGAGCCGGCTAAAATTCCCACAGTCGCGGGCTCATCGCCCTGTGTTAGTCGCCACCCAGGCGTTAGTAAAGGCTCCACGGGCGCACTACAGCCTGCTAGAGCTAGAACCGGCAAAGTTTCCAGAGCGATGAGGCAGCCTAGCGAGAGGCGGGGAACACACGGCGGCGCGCCCAGGCTCGGTGCGGTGCCGCTGTCCCGCGCAAACGGGGAT